GGGCGGGAAATGGCTGAGGGGGCTCCGGGGAGGGAGGTCGCCTCCTCAGGGGAAAGCCCCGGCACAAACCGGCAGGCGATGCGGCTGCTGAGGTAAGGGCACCTGGGAGAAACGATAACCTTCGCTGCCTGGAGGTTAGGGAGGGTGACTTCCTCCAAACCCAACTTCCTGGCTCTTTATTCTCCCTTTCTGCCTCGGGAATGGAGTTGAGCATGGAATTGATCTGTGCTTGCTGCCTGGACGGTCGCAGTCATAAATATATGTGTTCATGGAGGTGTTAGGATTTTTTGAGTGTTTTCGTGTTCTTCAGGGAAACCTGCGTCAGGGGTCTTGGTATTTTTTACACCTGTGGTTTTTGTGTGAAATTTGAGAAGTACATGAGTACAAAGGTGACTGTTCTGACTGCCAATTAAGTAATACCAATTGAGGTCTGATTATTAAAATGTTCCTCTTCTGATTCCTGCTTTACTACCCGTGATGATCCCGTGAGCCAGAGTTTACCCAAGGCTGTGCCAGTGCTGCTCCATGGGCAAATTCCTTCTCCATGAATGAAATGGGCAGTGTCTTTCCGAAGTTAAGGCTCAATGTCTGTTTTGCAGACATTTCTGCGTGGACAGACCCCTCTGCCCGTGTAACTTGTGCACTTAGGTGATAATTGGCAGGTATAAAGTGTGCTGGGATGTTGCCATAAATCTCGTTTAGTCAGGTGACTTGATATATTACACTAAAACAGAATCAGACTCGTAGTTCTGAAACTCCATCAGTGTCGTGCTGCCTGAGATAATGTGCTGTAACATTGAAAAATTGTTAAAGATCATAAAATAAGCATTTCTGATACTACATATGAAGAAGGTAGATTGACACATGGATTTGTGTTTTTTTTTTTTTCTAAGCCATATACTTTCATGAAGATAATTTCAGAAATTACCCCTTTTAAAATTAAGCTTTGTAACTTGTTACACTTGTACTTTTTGTTGTCATTTTTCTGTGCAGAACTGTGTGGAAAGTGAGTTCAGGCCGTATTTGAGCTGTTGTGCTATACCTTGTTACTTTTCAATTGTTTGTCTGTATTGTGGAGCAAAATACCTCCTGGGCTTCTGTGTGGTCACAATTTGGGTCAATTTTCCACACAGCGGATCCTTTGCTCTAAAAACTCCTTACTTCTAAAAGTAGTGAAATCTGTAAAACTGACTGAACAGTGTATGTTTAAATTCATTTACTTAAACAGCTTTGATATGCTAAATGGAATGTAACAGTTTGTGTAAAGTAGGTTTTTGTTGGGAGGAGGGAGTTTTGAGCTGCTTTTAGAAGTAGCAACTGGAAGTTATTTAAGGCATACTTGCATTTTTTTTTTTTTTTTTTTTCAGCTGTAGGTATGTGGAAACATTTGTACAAGGACTCTTTTTTATTTTGTAGGGTTGACCCATATGGGTTTGAAAGGCCAGAAGACTTCGATTATGCATCCTATGAAGCATTCTTTTCCAGATATCTAGTGGTACTCACTAGAAGAGCAATAAAATGGTCCAAGCTCCTGAAGGGGAATAACAGAATACAGAAGAGTTTAAAAGGTGAGCTGTATGTCTCTCTGTAGGTAAAAGTGCATTACGTTGGAACCAATATAAATCGTGTAAAATTGGTTTGCATTTTTGAATATTAAATACTATTTTTGTGTTGAAATGAAAAAAAGTAGTATAAACAGTAATAATACATAAGCAGGTATGCTGTTATTAGGGAGATCATTGATTTGATTTAAACCTTCCAAAGGAGTAATCCTTCTTTGGCATACACTATAGTATCTTGTTACATATGTAACCCAGAGATTATGGCCACTGCCATTTTACAGCTGTTTGTTGTATTATACTCTGCTCTGTGCTCTCTTTAAAAAGATATGAGATTATGTAGAAGACACTGTCTTGAACCCCAGGGATGAGGATGTTGGAGCTCTCAGTTGCTGACTCTTTGGCAGTTTTTTTAGATTGCTGAGATTTTCTAGCTCTCCTTATCCTCCTTTTGTAAAATGACATTCGCCTCATGGCTAAAAAGGTGTGTACTAAGAACTCATGCTAAGTGCCTTATGAAGTGAAGAAAGTAAATTAATGCAGGAGCTAATGCAACATTGGATAAAATGCTGATGGAGCTGTTAATGGCTGCTTCAAAAAGCAAGGAAACCTCCAGTAATGCTTTACCTGCAAGAGGAACAGGGAGAAATAAATGGGGGGAGTCAGAAGGTGGCAGGGAATCCTGTGAACCTAAAGGGTGGGAGTTTTTTCTCCCAGTCTTCCTCTGGGTTATTTTTTTCATGTAAGCTTCTAAATTTTCCTCTTTGCTCTTAATGATGCTATTCAGCTTGCTTTCTCTTGGGAGTCTTTTGGAGTTGGGCGGAGTTCTCTATAAGTATGTAAAAGAAAAAGTGAGTAAAACTAAGGAAAAGTTAATCAGGCACTGACTGTAACAGCTGAATATTTAGAGCTGTGCTTCAGGTGCAGACTTTGACTGCTAATTCTGGTGGCTTTGTTGTTCTGGGGTTGTTTTTTTTCTTGGCACCAAGAATGGGATGATAACTAGTGAGACATTTCAAGTATAACAGTTTATTTAGTATACGCATGTCTGTTTTAAGGCTGAGGAATCCCAGAAAATGTAGGTTTGAGCTATAGCTGCTAGATCATGTGGTGCTAACCAGAAAGTCGCTACTTCTACTCTCTTCTTTTTCTTCCAAATGTAAAGAAGCTTTTGTTCAGAGTGTCATGTTCAAATATAGCAATAACTGCAGTACTTTGAATTAGTGAGGATTTTGAGATTCTGCAGAACTTGGTCTTCTAGTTGTTGTGGAAAAATAATCTCAGGTTTTGATTCATCTCCTTCTCTTAAAATGTATGAACAGTGACAGCCGCAGATTTTTGCAACGAACTCACAGAAATTGCCTTTCTCTTCCCTTGTGTTCCCTGTTCCAGTGTTGTAGATGCAGAATGCTACTGTGATACAAACAGTGTGAATGCCTTTGGTCTTAATTTGGAGCCAAAACTTTGACCAAATCTCTCAACTTCTCCACCAGGCTTCCGTACCGATGGTCATGCTGCCCCACTAACCGCATAATGGCAGTAACCATTAATGTGGTTTTAATCATCTGTAGTGGACTACTGTTTGTGGAAAAATGGGGTGCCATAAATCCACTGAATGGATGCAGGCAATGGCTCTTGACTATAACAAGCCCTCGTGGGCTGGCACGTCGTCTTTGATGTTACTAACTTTTGCTAAAGATACTTGGATTTGTAGACTATGCATTCTCATGTATATATGTAATATATGATTCTAAGGGAGTGACTGGAATAAATAATGTTGAGGAAATGGAGTCTGAGTGCAAATTCAAAGTTGTTACAATAACCCCCCTGCATTATTCTCAACTGATACCTCAGAAGAGGAGAACAACAGGTTAACCTGTACAATTACTGATTTTTAAATACTTCCCTTCTTATATCAGTATTAAGATTGAAGTCTGTGGCATGTGCACTTAGAATTATGTAAGCAGTTGTTTAGGAGCGTGCTTTATCCCTGCAGTGATTTCCTTGCAGGCAGTCAGAGAGCAGAAGGTCTGCCTGGTGATGCACTGAACTTCCCTCCTCCAGGATCTGACTTCATTGCTCTGAAGCTTTGCTCGGGAGCTGCTGGTTCTGATTAACTTCCCCTCTTCTGCAAGTTAGCCATAAGCTAAAACTGAGAGGAATATTTGATTTGCTGCTTCCCCCTCAAGTGCAATAGCTGTATCTCTAAACCTGTATCTTTATTTTGAGTTCTACTGGGACCTTTTCAAACTGTGTCCTGCTGTGAGTAGATGTGAGAGAGGCATTGTACGTGTGCTATCTCAGTAGCTGCACACTCATTTGTCTTTACACATAGAGAAGCTCATCATTCCTGCCCGAGTGAACAGGAAGAAGTGGTGACTTGTGTTAATTTTCCAGTTTGGAAATGTGGTGTGTTCACATGCTACTGTGTTTGCCTCATATCCAGGGTGGTATGTATGTATATAACTCTCTTCTACTTTAAAGAAAAATAATTAGATTACGTTTTAACAACTGTAATTAAGCAGTGTATCCTGTTGTTCTGGATTACAGCCCTCTGGCAGGACAGGTCATGGGAATTTTGGCTGTCAGTTCCTTTTGCTCGTTCTCTGGTCTCTTCCTCTTCGTTATTTTCGGGTATTTTGTTTCCCCCTCTACCCTGTTATCTTCACTGTTTCCTCTGCAGATGTGAATTTCAGTCAGTGTTCGGTCACTTGCTCCCTCTCTCTCTCCACCACTACTGAGATCCTCTTAATTTTTGCCTTCCTCCATTCATCTGTGATCTTGGTGGGACCAAAGGGCAGCTTTCTGCTCTAGCTTGTTTACAGGTGGGCAACAGACTGCCCAAAGTAGCCTAATTCTGACCAAAAGCGTACTATGTACAAGAATTTGTCTGTGAGCGGATTAATCAAAACCGACCAGTAGCAGAAGGTGCTTTCTAGTCTTTGGGGCTGATAAAATACAGTGAAAGATGAAAGTAATGGTACTAAACGGTGGTTTTAACAGGAGCATTTCTGTTCCAGCCCAGAGGTTAGAGGAAGGAAGGAGCACCTTAGAAAGTCAGTTTTTGTGTTTGACTAACTTGGAACATTCACAACACAGAGCTGCTTTGGTTTTTGTGTGGTGTATTGATAAAATAAAACTTTCAATTCCTTGTTGTATGCCGTTTTCAGCTCTTCTGTAGAATTTTTTTCCTGTAGCGTTGAAGTTAGTTTCCTCAGCATTCAATAGTAATTGTTAGCAACTGAAAAAGTAACTGAAAAGTGCAGATGCTTCTCAAAATCACACTCTTCTAATACTTTAGATGAGATAATTTTTGGTTTTAAATGGAGTTTTAGTTTATGGAGTGTAAATGGAGTTTAGTCTATAGTGTAGAGTGAAACAGTGTTAATGGGGGGGAAAGGGTAAATACAATTTTTTCTAGAAGCAAAAACCTCCAAAATTCTTGTATTCTACCATTAAATCAGGACAGGCAGGTTTAAAGTGATTTACTTACTTTTAAATTTTGTTACTACAAGTAGTCCACAGTATTGGAAAGTGTTATTTTCTGCATATTTTTCTCTTGAAGTTACTTTGGGTATTTATCAGCACTTCTGGACTACTGCCCTATCATGTAGCTGTTTTTTCTTGTAACGAGAAAAACCTATTAATAAAGTGTGACTCTAAACCTGCAGAAACTGGCACTGGGTGTCAGAGGTAGCGGAATTATTAAGACGGCTTTTGTTTGCTTAAAAATTGATGTTTGGTATTTTGTCAATGAACAGAGGCAAAAATTTCGCATAAAGATATTTCTTTACTACACAAGTTTTAAAGCTTAGACTGTGTTGTGTACGCTGTGGTTGTCCTGGGAGTGATTCTGCGTGTGGATGCTCGGGGCCTGGTGGTATTCAGCAGTGCTGCTTTTGAGATCAAGCCCTTGGTTTACAGTTGGAGTCGGATGTGTGACTGGAGACACATGCACAATCCGGCTTCATCTGTGAAAGCTTCTTAAATGTTTACAGTGGGAGGATATTCTGTGGTGTGGACTGTTGTTGCGGGCTTTTCAGTTCCTGAGGATAATGTGGAAGGCAGCCTATAGAAAACAAAATAAATACATGTTTGCATAAACCAGTATGACTTTTATGTATAGAATATGACACATGTAAATAATACATGTATATATAACATTAAAATGCAACTGTCCTTATTTTCAAAACTACTTTGCTGCTTCTGTATGCCAGTTTGCAGATCCTGGCAAGTATGATAATGGTGTGAGGAAGAAAAGCACCATGTAAAGGGCCTTTTCCATTCCCCAGGGAGTGGGGGAGCTGGGGTAGGTAGTCACTTGGGGCCATACAAGCCTCTGGCTGTCAATTACCATGAGAATGATGACACTGAGGAGTAATGAGTATGCTGTGCTCCAGGGCTGCTTTCCCCTTGTGCCAGTGTCAGAGGCTTGTCCCTGCTTCTCTTTAATTTAATGTGTATTGTTGGATGGGGATGTTGGCTATGCTTTCAGAACTGACAGTTGTTCCAAAAAAAATACCATTGGAATTACATGTTAGAATATGATAATTCAGTAATTTAGCCAGTAAGTTTGCTTCTAGAGACATTTGCAGGCTCATCCAAATCTCTTCTTGTTGACCTAAATGGGACTGGTTCCTCATAATCATTACTGTATTTGCTATATCCATCTATAGGATTTCTTAAGCATTAGAGTTCAAAATCTTGTAAAAAATACCAAGTAGGGATTATTAAACAACGATGGAAACAAGTACCTTATTTCCAGTCTGTCTAAAAGAAGGTTGTAGTTAAAGTTACTTTACAGCTAGAACAACAGAGACTGTAACCCATAGTATAAATCCTCATCAAAAAGCTAAACAAAACCTGTACCCTGAAGGCCAGGTGTTTATTACCAATGTTAAGGGTAGGAGTCTTTCTCTGGGAGAAGGTGCCAGATTTTAGGCAGATGAAATGCCTGTTAGAGATGCACAGATCTCTCTGTTGACACTGGGAAAGCAGCTTTGGCTCCTAAAGGATAGGCAGCTGCAGTTAGGTGGAATGTGTTTAGAAGGTGGCTGCCTGAGTTGTTTTAAAGCCTTGTTTCGCTCTGTTTTTAAGGCCTTTAATTCAGGCAGCATTTATCTTGAGTTATAGATCTTTGTGATTGGATAAAACCAGATTAGGTAATGATACTTTATGTGTGTCTGTGTGTGGGTGGGATAAAAATCCCCACTCTCATTTGAGTCCCGTAGAATTTAGGGGGGAGAAGTTGATACTCTAAATGATACAGTGTCATTCATTAGGTAAGAAACATCTGGTTCTTTTGTCAATTTCTCCTGCCTGGAAAAAGCAGAAGGATCTCAAACATTCGCCTGGCTTTTTGGGTCAGAAGGGGTAATGCTGATTTAGGATTATGTACCAATGAGCAGCATTGGCTCCTTATTAATATTTTTCATACCATTCCCAGGAGGAAGCTCCTTTGGCTGTCATTAGCCTGATGCTTCTTCCTGCAATCCTGCATCCTAGTTATTTACACTGAATCATGTGCTTAAAAAAAAAAACTCACCCCAAAGTACATCCTGATGATGAATGTGATGCAGGAGATAAGAGCTACTTTAGATTTGAAAAGACTTCCCCAGTTATGCTAGGAAAAATTGTTTGCTGCTCGCTCACATCTCCAGTTCTTCCAGAGGCTCATTTAGACAGTAGCCACGTATTTCATATTTCTCAGTTTCTGCTGCGATTTCAGCAGTTAGGTGCTAAGCTGAAATCCTAGGGTTGTGTTAACATAGTCGTATATGCGAGAGCATAACCAAGCAAACGGAAAGGGCTATCATGCCAGAGGGCGTTGGTAATGTAGGAAAAAAGTCAGTGCTTGTCTGAACGAAAAAGGACAAAGATCAAGGGGGAACTTTGCTGTTCATATTTCCATCTGGAAGGGTGGGAAGAAGAGGAAAGGATTCAAAATCCTAATGGGGGAATAGAAGAGGGAGGAACGCCTGGGTCTGGAGATCTGTGTAGGGAGTCTGAATGGCAAGAATTTAGGAGTGAATCTAAAATATACCATGTAGCTGGAAAGGAAATGCTTACCCTAAATGGTAGCATAGGAAAGAAAGCACAATAATCTGTAGTCAGGAGTTTTCCTATGACTTCTCAACTTTCTATTGCTCATTTCCAAAAGGAAAATACAGCAGGATTTTTTAAAATTTCTTTAAACAAACAAACACCAAACTTCTTGTTTTGCAGTGAAGAGATATGTCAGGAAAGGCATCCCCAATGAACACCGTGCATTGATCTGGATGATTGTGAGTGGGGCTCAAACCAACATGGAACAAAACCCTGGCTATTACCACAGACTGCTTGAAGGAGAGAAGAATGACAAGCTGGTGGAAGCAATCAAAACAGGTTATTGCCTTGATAATGCTGTTTATCCATCCTATGTCCTTAAATGTTAGAGATCAAGTTATGTCATGGAAAACTTACCTTTCTGTAGTAGTGGTTTAAGTGCTGAATTAACATGTAAATTAGATTAGCCATAAGCTCTTTAACAGCACAGATCTTTCCAGGTTCATCATGTGGTCAAAAGCATTAAGGAAGATTAGAAATTATTTGTTACTGGAGGGTGCTGCTGAGGACAGAAGTATGAACTGGTTTAGAAAGGAATTTGGCAAACTGAGAGATGGGGAAATCCATCTGATGCATGAAAACCTGGACAGTAGATGTACATCCCTGAAAGAAGGGAAGTGTAGGAAGAGAAATACCCCTCCTCTGCTAATCCAGTTCCATATGCACTGTCTGTGAACACTGATCAGTGGCCAATATTGGTGGCAGGGTATTGGGGCAACCAGACCTTAGACTGGCCCATGGGGTGTTTAGGGGCAGTAGGGGAGGACAAGCAAGTGGGAGTTTGATGTAACTGGTATTTGTCCTGACACTTTTCAACCTGCTGCAGCAGAGCTTTTGTAAAGATGCTGATATTGGCCGAGTTGCCAAATTAATGAGTCAAGAGGTTGGGCTATGCTCTGGAGAAGCACAATGCAGAAGTGGTTTTGTTAGAGTGACAGGTGCAGTTGTCATCTTTTTCGTCTTGAAAAAGCCAGGTAGTTAAAGTTGGGGCTTTGTGAATTTTTATTCAAGTTGGAAAACCACCTGAACACTTTTTGGTTTATATGGACTTTGTCCTCTGCCTCTCCCTGCAACAGCAGCAGCAGCACTGTGGGCTTTTGGGATGACACGCCTTGGAAAGGCATTTTGGAGCATAAACTTTCATCTTCCTATGAATATGTAGACTAGCCAGAAATCTTCAGGCTTGTATCATGCTTAGAACTAGAAACAGTAGAGCCCTAAACCTGAACATTTTTGGTTTATGTGGACTTTGTCCTCCGCCTCTCCCTGCAACAGCAGCAGCAGCACTGTGGGCTTTTGGGATGACACGCCTTGGAAAGGCATTTTGGAGCATAAACTTTCTTCCTATGAACATGAAGACTAGCCAGAAATCTTCAGGCTTGTATCATGCTTAGAACTAGAAACAGTAGAGCCCTAACTATGAATACAGAGGGAGCTACTGAGATGGCTTTGCAAAGCCAGCCTTGGTAAGGGCCTGGAGAAGGATCAAACTGTATTCAGTTGGGGTAGAATTGCTGCAAGAGGGAGTTGCAAACAATTTCTTTTCCAGTACTAGACAATGATATGAAGGGTCATATCATGACAGTAGGTGGCTTTTCATACAGGTCATACCATGAAATAAATATATTTCTGTGGAGGAGGAAAAATAATGGGAGAAGATAAAGATCTATTTGTGAATTATGGAGGAAATAAAGTTTTGGAAGAGCTACTGCATTGATTGGAAAACTGCAGAAGAGAAAACTAACAAGGATCAAGTGAGGGAAGGGATGAAGAAAAATGGATTGGAGGGGGGAAAAAAAGTAATAGGAGGACCTCAGACTCCAGAGTGATAGATTTCCCTTCAAAAAGGAAGAAACAATGTGAACATACGGGTGATGGAAGGAACAAAGTACCTAAGGTGCATGGAAACTTTGTGTTTATTAAACTTAGTGCTTGTGTTCACTGTGCAAATTTTATAGCAGGGTTCAGCTGAGGGCTGTTTCAGCGCGAATTGTCATCTGACATGCAGTGTTTCTGCCTGTGTTGTTTTCCTATCACTGTAGTTGTTTTTGACAGTAATTAAAGAAAGATGTGGAATTTTGCTACTGTTCACTTTTCGTCTCTGCAGTTTCCAAAATTTTCAGGCAATTGTGCTGTATTTAGTGCTGTGGTCTAGCTGTAAAGTTAGTTATAGCTCAGGACAGTGCTGCGGTTTAAAAACAAGAGAACAGCAACCATGCTTTCTTTTTTTTTTCAGAAGGAGGGGCAGGAGGACAAAGCCAGCCAAAGACTTTATTTCAAATTCAATTTAAAACATGTGTGAGGGCCAATGTGTCCTGTTTCTTTTGCATGCCCGGAAGCTCCAAACAATTTACATGTATATTTGGAACTTATTTTCAGTTTGGGAATGTCTTATATGGAATATAATCAGGTTAAAAAGTGCAGGCAGGCTGTGTAGAGAAATGGTCTAATCTTTAAAGAAAAATCAGATTAGTAATAGCAATAAAAGTCTTTCAGCTAAATAAATCTAAATTGTCCTTTCACCATTTTTGCCCTTTAACTTGCTGATTCGTAACTGATTGGCTTTATTGCTGATTTTATTTCATATGATGTTTGCTGTTTGAACGTGCTTTTTTTTTTTTAAGAGAAATGTAGGAGAGAGCAGGCTTCTTACTCTAAACATAAAAATAAGAGTTTAAAGAATGCAGGTCTCTAAATTTTGATGGAAGTTTTCATGGCTTAGTTTATGTATGCATTTAGAAGGGCATGCATTCCTACTGCACTTTGTCGTTCGTGCCCTATTATAGTAAAGTTTAGTAGGACAAATGATGTTGGCAGGAAAAAATGTGGCTGTCCTCCTAATGCAAAGGCTACGTGCTGGTTACAAGAAATCTGGGGTGTAGGTTTTTGCAGCTTGCTTGCAGTAAGCCCTCCTTAGGCAGGGCCATTGAATTTCAGCATAAGCATGTCTGTGTCTGCAAGTCCTCTCACATGCAGCTAATATCCACATTTGCCCTCCTGTGTTTCATGAGGCGAAGCTGTATTGTCCTGAGCCTGAGCCGCACTGCGTGACTGCTGGCATAAGGATCTGACAGCGTGGATTGGATAGTAGTTGCAGGATCTTAGCTTAGTTTATGATGGGTTCAGAAAAGTAGTTCAAAGAATAGCCATTGCCACTTCGCTGAAGACAGTGAATATTTTACTATCAAAGCACTAATAAGCTTCTCTGAATGGGGTTAAACTATTAGTGAAGGTTGGGAACTTTCACGTGAGTTAGGGCATTTAACCGTGCAAGAGCAAGGGGAACAGCAGCGTCAGCTCTTCTGGCTCTCTAAGAGAAGCCATATCAGGTCATATCCAAATGGCTACCTCAGCTGATCTTCTGTCTACCAGAACAGCCAAAGGAAGAACTGGAGGAGTAAAGTGTGTAGTGATACTTCTTCAGAATGTTTTTCCTAGTCTCCAGTTATCTGTGGTTTGCGGACTTCCTGAGTCATATGCCACATGTTTGTAGTTAATAACACTGGATGGGGAAAAAATTCACAAAAAACCTCTGGCTGCACCTTTTCTGTGTCACTTACCTTACTCATGATTTTACAGGTTTGTACTGTCTTGCTCATAAGCGTCTCTCTCCAAACTAAAGATCTCTAATCCACCTTGTTTTTTACTGTGTGTGGTAGCCATTTCATAGCTGTGATCTTCCTTGTTGCCCTTCTCTTCTGCATTTTCTTCAATTCTTGTATCACCTTTTGGAGATGAAGGGGTCTGGAACTTATGCAGGTGCTTCGCAGATTTATACAGTGGCATTATTCTTCTTTTGTAGGAAATTCTAACCCTGTTTGCTTTCTTGATTGCTGCAAGCCATTGAACTGTCAGCTGGTGCTGGTGGTAGGGGGTGTCGGCTCAGTTTCTCTGGTTTTAGCTCATAGCAAACTTGACCTTAACTTAAAAACAAACAAAAAAAACGCCAAACCTCCAAAACAATTTCTAGTTCCAGGTGTTGCAGGAAGATGAGTCCTAAATATCCAGTTACAACAAATTTTAAATATCCTTTAAGTATACTGTTTTTACAAGTTGTAGTTGATGACCTAACCTCATTATTCAGGAGGCTTGCAGTCGAGTTTTTGAATGCTTGTAGTTGGCAGCTGAGGTGAATTTTTTGTTCTGCTCTTTACTAAAAAAAAACAAAACAAAAACCAAACAAACAAAAACAACAAAAAAAGAAATTGCTACTGCTACATATCTAACTTGCATCTGCTCTGAATAGCTTCCAGGCAGGCAAAGAAGTGACCGTAATTGGAACAGAGGATGTTAGTTACAAAAATGCTTGTGTAACTTACTGGGTGCTGTGTCTGGGAGTGGGAAGCACCTGGATAAGAAGGTAAGAACAGAAAGGATCATAGAACCATTATGGTTGGAAGAGACCTCAAAGATCATCAAGTCCAACCGTATACCTGATGCCACCATACCCACTAAACCATGTCTTGAAGCACCACATCTAATGAGATGAGATAGCAAGATGAAGAAGGTTAACTTGTAGGTGCCTCACTTTTGAAGTAACCTAAATATGAAAAGCACAAGACTGGTACAAAAGCATCCAGTTTTCTGGACTGCACACTTAAATCTCTTTGCTTCAGAAATAGCATCAACAATTGTGATTCCAGGTACCAAAATAGATGTCTGTTTTATAAACTGAGGCTAATGTGGCTTTCTGTCTATGTTTGTATTATTGAATGAGAGACAGAAATACTGCAGACCTGTGAAAAGGAAGAAACAAGCCATTGGTCTTCTCATGGCTGCTGCACAGAGATAAATCAACAGGAAAGGAAAGTGATTGTTTCACAGCAGCATAACACTGCCACCTCACAGGACTGAAAGATTATCTTAAAAAAAAATAAATAAAAAGCTATTGGGATTTAATCTGATTTTACCACAAAGGCGTAGCTAGTCTTTTCTTTCCTGGTCCCATTCTCCTATACCTAGCCTGGTTATAGCCAGCAGATCTGCACACAACCGCAAGATGGTCATAGCTTTGGGCTTTATCTAGCAGTATAAAGTTCTAGTATTCGTTTTCCTGCTTGAAAACAGTTCTGATGTTTTTTCCCCAAACTGGACTAGTTTGAGGCTGTGTTCCTTTGGATGCTAATGTCTGTCAAGAATGAAGTAGGTTAAGGGATAGCAGGTCAGAGCGTGGGCTGCACGGAGCAGAAGGAGGTGTTCAGATGTCTCCTCTGGGTCAGGTGTAGTAAAATGGGGGCAAGTGCTCAAGTCAAATGAACAGCTCTCGCCTGCTCCTGTGGTTTGCCTCAATCTCTGGGAGTCGTCTTGTTGTATGGTAAAACAGCTCAGTTTGTGTGCGCTTGGGGAGTGGGTTGACTTCCCTCACCTTGCAGTCAGAGGAGCCTCAGAGCTGGAGGAAGAGGAAGAGCATGCAAATGGAGCAGAAAGGGGAGGATGGAGAGGAAATGGGACTGCCCCACTCTTGGTATGCTCAAGATGATAATCTGGCACAAGGAGTCCTGTGAGACCATGCCCCTTGCCTTCTGTTAAGACTAATAGCTCTTGTATCTTGTCTTTGTCCCCGTCCCCTCTCCCCAAACTAAAATACTGTTACTAAATATAAAGGGAAGTTTTAAATCCTTCATAAAATTAGGGAAGACTTCCCCCAGTCTTTGTGGGAAAAACATGCTCTGTGATCAGAAAGCAAATTGGAGCTGATTCTGTCAACTGCAGGTCTTCCTCAGATTGTGAAATTAAAGATGAGTTCCGTTTGAGTAGTCTCTGCTCTGTATATGATGGACTTTTCATACTCTCCCCTCACCCTTGCTCTGCATAGCTGAGGAGAAGAGCCATAACTGAAGTGTCAGCATGAATCTTTTCTGTAACATCCAGCATATACTTTAATAAACAGCAGATTTTGATTATGCAAATGCTATGCTGCTCTTCCTACCGAGAAGAAACAAAACAAATTTATTTATCCTGTAACTGGCTGCGGCTCAAGTCCTTTTAAAAATTGTCTTTTTCCTTGTATTTTTCTTGTCAGTCACATAAGAGGTGAAGTGAAATATTTCCTGGCCCTCCCATTTCTGTAAATGATTTGTTCACTGTAAAAGGGAGAAATAGTGATTAGTGCAATAACTTTTCCATGCTTGTAACTTCCATTACACTACTTGTGATTTTTGGGGAGATTTCTTCCTTTGGTTGTTTACAGCTCATCTTTGTGTCAAAGCTGTAACAGACTTCTTCCTTTGTGCAGGAAAAGGCTGATAAGAAGTGATAACTCTTAGAACATACATATCTGTACAGTAGTGCTGTACTGAATTTTTTTTTTAACTTTAAGCCAATTTTTTGTTGTTGTCAAATATAACCAAAATGTCTTCATATTTTAATAATAAGCTGGGTTTTGAAAATTGTCAAAGTTACTTTTGAATAGGATCTTTGTCCCCAGCTTAAACTTCTGAAAATCAGATGCACAAGTCTGGACTAGTGACCTTGGGTTCCCTCTGTATAGAGTGAAGCAGGCCAAAAATTAACTGCCTGTTTCATTCCAACAACTCAAGGGAGCTTTAGGTGACTAGCTCAAACTTGCATGTCTAATTTTTAGATCTCTGTAAGGAGAGATGAGTCCTGCTATTCATGTTTGGTCTGGAAGAAATGAATGTTTTGAAATGTCAGTGATTACATAGTCCTTACTTGGTTTAGGATTGAGTTTGAAGCATGTGGGATGTGCTCTGCTGCTTGGATATCAAAAAATCACTCTGATGATCTTGCACCAGTGAAGAAACAACTTTTCTTGTGGTCACATCATGGAGAAACTTGAAAAAAACTTTTTAAAAGGTGATTTTAAGTGGAAGTCACCAGCTGCAGGAACAGGACTGGTTTTTTTAGCTGTTTGGGACTGTTTGATAGAAGCTCACTGAGTAAGTCAATTGAAAGTTCATCTGATTTGTATGAGAATGTGTTTTCCTGGAGGCACAGCTCATTTCATGCCACTTGGCTAGCTAAATTTGGTATGTATTGTTTCTGTCAGTCTAAATGTTTGGGTTGCTTTCATTTAAGCCTTTGCAGTCAGACATTGTGACAGTCCAATCTGCAAGAGAATTTCTTTAGTCCTGCTTGAAATTGATTTCTGTACACTAATAGGATTAATCTTTCTAGGAATAAATTATCCTTGAATGCAGATGGCTTTTAGCCAAAATGGAGGTAAAGCTGTTTCTTAAAATTCATTCAGTAAAATTACAGTTTAGTGAACCATAGTGAAGTTTCAGTTGTAGTTCAGAAGAGCTGTAAAAGTTTGTTTCGAAAGTGAAGGAAGGAACAGCTCTTAATTTTGGTTTTTTTCTCTTTTGTCTAGACATGAACAGAACATTTCCAGATAACGTAAAATTCCGCAAAACTGCTGATCCCTGTTTGCAGCATACACTCTACAACGTATTGGTAGCATATGGGCATCATAATAAAGCAGTAGGATATTGTCAGGTATGTAATGACCGTTTTTAAACAATGCTGCATTTCACCAATGGTAATCGTTCTTGTCCATTTGAATATGCATTTTTAGAAGCACATCCACAAACTATTTCTGGTTTTAAAATGGCCCTGGGGTGGGTGGGGAAATGAATTGCTTCAGGCGAGTTCAAATGTCCTTGTGAGTTTCTCTGTGGCCTTTTTTTTGTAGCTAGCTTGATCATGTTTGGTTCTGTTTGTTAGCTGCAAAGCAAACGTTTTATCACACATGATTGTATCAAGATTAGTTGCTTCTGAGAGGAAAAGAAAGCGAGCTTGCCTTTCCCTCTTGCTCCCTCTTGCCGTCTTTCCCAAAACAATCCTTCGTATGTACGAAGCATCATGAGGCTTCAATTTTCTTTGTTTTCACTGTCACATTTTTCAAAATACAGGAAGACCAGCATTCATGCGACATCATGTAGTTGGGGGAGTGGTAGCATTTATTTGATGCCATCTCCCAGTATAGACAGGCAAGCAGGAAGAAAATTAGTTTGAAATTCAACCTGATACTGCTTAGATGGCAGCTCAAAAATGCTCCTGTCACCACTGCCAGGTACTGTAAAGTTTACTGTGGGACACAGAAGATAAAAGTTGATTCATGACAGTCAAGAAAAAAGCGGCTGTCTTTAAGGATCATAAAGAGGCATGAACTGTCACGAGCAAAATATGTTTTCAGTTCACTTAAGTCCTCTCCTCTCTTCTCCCCTTCCTCACCAAGGACGTTATGTGCTAACCTGTACCTCATGTTAGTTGAGAATGTTAGTACAGTAAATACAACTGTTCCAAAGTTAAAGAATATGAATTGTATTTATTGAAATCTGGAGAGGAGAAGACTTAGAGGGACTTAAACCTTGACTGAAGTCACTAAAAAAAGTTCTTTTTTGTGTATTCCAACCAGTTTTAGTGCAGAAATTAGTTGAAGAATGGGAGTAAAAGATTAATGATTTTTATTATTTTGAGTATTAAGTATTTATTAAAATACAATTTTTGAGAATAACAGAAGGGGCAGAATTATGAATACTCTCTGTGGCAAGTGTCAGGCTCCTATATAGACGTAGTTATACCCACAAACATACACAAATTCTAAACCATGCTAGCTTCTACCCAAAATATATGTCCAGTTGTTACTAAAAAGTTTGGGTATGTTAACTGTTTAATGGGCTAATATTTGCATTTTAACTTGGCATTATGAACACTGGAGATGAAAGAAGAAGACTTAAAAAGCCTTACGCGATTTTGTTTCACCTTTGGTCTCCTCACAGGATGAATGTTATCTGGCTAAATAATTAGAACATAAACCAAAGGTCAACATCTGCTTTCCAAGGCATGTTGTAAATCAGCTAAGGTTTCAGGAAATCACCTTTTCTGCTAGTGAAGCAGCAGACTTCATCAAGATAGATATAGTGATAGCCACTGCATGATTAGAGAGACCCTATAAACACTAGAAAACTCAGAGTGAAAAATGGATTACCCCCCCCCAAGTGCTTTGCAGAGCTTTTACTGACTGAAGGCTCTTCAGGGGACGTTTCCGTAATGCCAGGGCATTTGTGGCACTTACTGGCATTTAGATCTCCCATCTGGGAGTGTATTGAGCTTTGCACTATCACCCTGTGACAGTGGTATGGTGTTGCCTACCCTGGTATAACCAGCAAAATTTGGTGTCCAGTGAACATGTGCGCCAGAGTAGTTTTTTGTGCCTGCCATGTTAAATGCCAAACAGTCTCTTGTCACCATAGATACAATTACTAAGCTAACTGTCAGCATGGAAACAAATAATTGCCTTCCTAACTAGAAGGGCAAGCATTGTGTAAGGCCATGCAAGGTCTAGCCAAGCCATTTGTGTAACCAGTGGTGTAGTGACTCAAAGCTTGAAAATGAAACATTGGAGAAGATGCAGTGTCCTAGTATTTCCGTGTTCTGGGAGTGTTGCAAGGCCTTCTGAGGTGGGACAGGTGAGTCAAATCTGTTGAATGCAAGTGAGATCTCAGTTCAGAGAGGAAGCTGTAGCTTCCAGAGGCTGTGAGGGATGTTATTTTTGGTAGCTGTCATCTGGCGCACAGCCATCCTTGGCAGTGCTGCGGGATAACCAGAGATAGTGGTGCTGCCTATGACAATAGACATGCTGGAGAAGTCCAGCTCGGAGGGAGAGAGAACAGGGAGAAGGCCAAAGAAAGGGAGGAAACCAAAGAAGGCAATGTAACTAACACCAGCCTCCATAGTCTGTAAATATTTAAAGATAATTTTCTGTTAGCTTAGGAAGGCTTTAGGGGGGCTTGCACCTCAGAGGCAGCTTTTGTCATATTGTCATACTGATGTGCTGTCTATGTTGTTATGGTTGTCAGCTTGTTTATGATGGAAAAGACGTACTTAAAAAATGCTTACAGAAGTGAACTACTGTGCATGTAAATCAGCCACATTGCCATCACTTAGCAGTGTTATGGTGGATACAAGGAAAAAAAGTGCCTGAGACAGAGGCAATGTGTTTACAGGGAATACCACTTGGTGACCTGTGTGTTCTGTATGCCACTTCTCCAGTCAGAGAGTGCCAGTAAACGTTATGAAAATTGCACAGTTGGAATTTTGCCAGTTATTAGTTGACTACTTTTCACAAATTTTCTGGTAGCTCTTCCAATCCTCCCACCTCCTGGTGTTACCTTCTGTTTGCATGTTGGAAAGCAGGAGCTATAGCGGACAGTCATTGACTAGCAATGTGGAGTACTGGAGGTCTCATGGAAGCAAATGTTTTGTATATAGTCATTTGATGAGTTAAGCAGCAACAGCATGTAAAAGCTGCTGGAGCTGCAACTTTTTACTAAAAAGTCTTTGGGTCAGGCATTCTCCTTCTGTAGTGGCACTGTCTACCCACAGGTGTGTTGTGTTTGTCCTGCCCACCTAATACAGCTGTGTTGTGGTCCTGGTCAAAGCAGTCTTCAGTTACATCAGGACAGGGCTTTGGGATTTTTTTTTTTAAAAAAAAAAAAAAAAAGAAAATCGAAGGTAAATTATAGACTTCTAATTTTTCTTTTAATTTTCCTCTCCTTGATCTTTGTTAATAATTCTTGTTAGCTGTCTCCACTCAGGCTTAACAGCTTACTCAACCGGTGGCATTTATTACAAGATTTTACTTAATATGCCCACTTTGTAGAACTGTAGTAATTTAGCCCTTAATCAAAAGAAATAAACTAGAAACTCTTAAGTGTATGCATCTTAAACCCTTCTTTCTGTTTCAGGGCATGAACTTCATAGCTGGATACTTGATTCTTATTACAAAGAATGAAGAGGAGTCCTTTTGGTTGCTAGATGCTCTTATTGGAAGAATATTGCCAGGTATGCTAAAAACATGTATAGTTGTATTAATATGTTGGAGCTTGGCTTTTATTTTATCTTTGTGTTCTTCTCTGGTTTTAGATGTTAAAATGGACTTGCATGAACTGGAGATTTTCTAGGGTCCTGGAAACAGTCCTGGAAACACAGGACAAAGACACAATACACAGGCAAAACTGGTTTTATAGTCAGATTTTAGTCTTGATGCAGTGGTTCATGTGTATGTTAATTTGCAGTCTTACTTCTCACTCCCTACTTACACATATTAGGTAGATGTCTTCCTGTATCAGTATGATGCTGCGGAACAGGACTTGTGAAGGTGTCTAGGATTTGGCGCTTCTGGTTGCAGGAATATGGTATAAGACATGGATGAAGCAGTGATCGCAGAGCAGAGTGAAGATGGGAGATGTGCACAGTTTGAGCACTGAGCCTGAAGTAGGAATTCCAGTGGCTTGGCAGGAGGCAGCATGAGCTTTCTTCAGAGGTATTTGGCAAGGTGGTGGTAGTTTCTGCTAGGCACAGGAGTTTCTGCTATGTTCCCTGCTTCTGACTGGGGATATCTTGGGCACTTTACACATTGTGATTTTGCAACAAAGCAAACAAACGTCAAAATCCCTGTCTGTGTCTGTATGGAAGGTCTTGTCAAAGCTCTTACGATCAGTGGTGGTCAGCCGGGCTGGTCAATAGAGTCCAGGGAGAAATTCAGCACACCCTAAGCTATAGACAGTATCTACATCTGGTCAGGTCAGTAGCTCTCTAGGTTCCCTTGCTTGGATCTCTGGGTTTGCAGGAGGTGTTTACACACTGTGTTTTGCCTGATGTATAAGCTGAATCTCACCACATGTGTGAAGTAGTTTAAAACCAGAAGCAGACATCAGGCACAGCTATGTTTTATACTCCTATGAAATACATTTGGGAATGTTCTTTCTTGAGATTTAATTATAGAGGAAGAATGGTTTCATCATGAATTCCCATTAGCATTGTGCAGGAATGACTGCAGCTACACCCTTAATGTAAAGCCATACTCAAAATGGAAGACTAAGTTTTCTATAAGGAGGCTTTGAAATTCCCTATTGGCTCAGTTTTACTTTTGAACAGATCTTTATCCCAAATGGTTAGAGGCTGAATTCAGTATTACAGTGTCAATTAAGCGCTGGTCAACAACATCAAGGTTGGTACTTTCATTTCTGCTTCTTTCTGTTCTTGTTTAAGATTAAAGGAAAAAAAGTATATAATTTTTGGTTCCTTATTGACTAGAGGGAAAGACTTCGAGAAAGAAGGAAAAAGAGCTGAGGGAGGCTTTTACTGCCTTTGAATGACTAAGAAATAATCTTTTATACTGAATACACCCTACAGGAACTCAGGTTTTCCTTGTGTATGAGCAGAGTGGTTGGACTTCATTTGCAGATTGAAAGAGTAGACACAGGCAGGGAGCACTGTGACTTGTTGAATCAATCTGCAAATATTTGAGGGTTTGCAGCCTTGAAGTTTACTTTCAAGCTATAAAAATAGTCTAAAGAAATCAACTGTCTGTTACTTTTGTTCAGCCTTGAGAGCCGTATAAGCTGTGCAAACAGGTAGGAGACTTGAGGGCTGCTGTCTGCCATGTGACCTGCCACTGGCTGACATCGGTGGATGTCTTTCCGTTGACATCACTGGGTCAGGGATAAGGCCCTCAGTAAAAGGCAAGTTTCACTGCAAAGTGATGTGTGGCAAGTTTCACTGCAAAGTGATGTGTGGCAATTTTTGCTGTTAATCTTTTTGATAGTCTTACATGTTTTTATTTGGGGCAAGGGAGTAGATTCAGAATTTTTTATTCATTGGTTTTGGTAGGGAGCTTACTTCAGTTTGTCATAAAGCCTTCAGTTGTTTCTGTATATCTTCCTTCTACACTTGATACCTACGTGACAAAAGTCGCTCTTATTTTTCCCTCTTGGTTGTTGAATTTATCTTACACTAGTAGCATTGGTGATGAGAAGAAACTCAACGTGAAAGGCAATTACTGTGTATAAAGGAGATGTAGATTTACTTAAGTTATATTTATAGATATATATATATATTTTACTAACCTGTAAGAAGAGTCTTGTTACAAACTTTGCCCTGGGTTCAGCACATCAAGTACAGGCATCCATCTGAGGTGCTGAAGTTTGAAACACGCGTGCCTATGTTTCTTTGACAGTCAGTGGGGAAGGGGATATCTGATCAGAATTGCTGATCTGAGTGTGCCCCTTTCCCCTCCCCAGTCAGTTTTAAGAGAGCTTGAGGTGTCCCTTCCGGCTTGGGTGCCTCAACAAGAGCCCAGGTTAGATAGTATGAATCTTTTATGTAGTAAAAATGTTTGTATTGAGTAATATAAGGCTTCATTGTCAGAAAACTTGTTGCTGATGCACTTATTTTTCATCACAATTTTTTTCCCTCCTTTTATTCCCACTACCCTCCTATATCATGCTTGAATTGTACATTTATAAAATTCAAAGCATGATGGACAAAATAATTTGCATAATTTCAGTGAAATATTGTGTGTGTATGTGTGAGAGGGAATCAAACAGATTGGCTATCCATAAAGAAACTTACTCAGGTAAGTAAGTACTACTCTTCTGTTAACAGTGCAAGGTACAGGGCATTTCAGTTTAAAGCGCTGTCAACATTGTATATGCTCCAGATCTTCAGAGGGAAAAGTAGCAATCATTTTTTGTTGGAAGTTAACAGTTTGATTAGCCAACATTTTTCCTGTAGTTTCATTGCTGATGCTCTTTTCTTGATCTGTTTGCATTATAATCTACGTGTTTTCCCCTTTCGTTGCAACAGATATGCCTCCAGGACATGTCCTTGTTTTCGAGTGTGTCCTGTCACTGCCAGTTAAATCCGTGATGATTTAGGACAATTGAGAAATCCCTTCTCTGCCCTCTGCAGTGTCCCTATGCATGCTTCCTTCCCCTGGCCCACACGCATTTAATTATATTAAACAGCTGCTCCAGTACCTTGATGCTGACAGCATTTTTTTGGTCAGGAGATGAACCAAGCCAGCCACAGATCAATGCCATTGATTGAAAAATGTAGAACATGACAGATGAGAGCATTAGTGACAGCTTTCTGGGGAAGTGACAGAGAAGGGCTCCCTAAGCTATGGGTCACGTCCCCGCTTGTACTGGTTTTTTAGGTCTAGGTGGAGGTATGTACCAGAGGATATGATAAAGGTGTGACTGCTCCACCCACTGACAGGAGAAGGACAACTTGGGAATGGGACCCATCAGTAGAGATTTTGGGGCTGAATTGTTCCGTTACACTCAAACGGAGCTAGGGCATGGCAGAGTGAGCCAGCAAAAATTACAGTTTGGTTTGTTGGTGTGTGGAGTTGTGTGCATGCCATGCGGCTGGGTACAGCTGGGTGAGGCCAGAAATAATCCTGCTTCTGCTGAAGGCAAGCCTGTAGACTACTGCCTGTTGTGTCTGTCAGCTGCTCAACCAGGGATTTGGAGGGATTAGGAGCGTATCTCATTTAGACACAGCAAGGGGGAAGAGAATTATTTGTTTAACTGAAGTTTTGGGTGTTACCAAAATCTTTTATTCCCAGGTTCATTTGAAACAGATGGCTGGAGCAGACAGTGTTGCCCACAAGAAGCAGTATGGATTCAATTTGAGCTCAGAGTGGATGTGTCTGCAATTTGTATTCAGCGTAGCTCTAGTGTTTCTGTTCTGTTCATAGCTCGAGTTCTTGCTGAGAAATTTTTTTGTTCTGTTGAGGAAATACTGGGGAGGTTGCTTTAGATAGCATCAGGTAGGTGGGAACTTTTAACTGTGGTACTTTGGTGTGTAGTTTAAGGAGCATATTTGTCATATTTTACATATATGTGATTAAATTGTGAGTTTAAAAGAAGAAAAACCTGACAGTGTGGACTCACTTCAGCATGACGGTTATGTTTATATGTAGCAGAACAATCTTCCCCCCCAGCCTCACTTCAGTGGTTCTCAGTCTGAAAGCAGCAGTGTTTATCAAGCTATACTCACAATGGCACCCTTTTTTTTTTCCAGTGGGAAATTTGCTAGTGCCTTGTGCAGTGGCATTATTTCTCTCTTCTCACAGCTGAAAGTGTTCTGTTTGAGAGAGAAAAACTGTAGGATCTTCCTTGCCTTTTTTTCCCTTGTGGCATTCTGGTTTTGATTTGTGATCTCGGTAATAATGCATGTGCTATTGCTCCTCTGTCATTGTCAACAGATGGTTTATCCACAGCTTGTGGGAATTCATCACACCTTTTTGCTGAACTTTATTTGCACATTCTTGTCCTTGTTATTTTAAATACCATCATGTCTCACTTCCTCCAGTCTTTTCACTATGTTGGTCTGTTGTACCTTGTGTATTGACACGGGACAATATCTCTCAGTTTAGGATTATTAACAAATATCAGCTTTTTCTTTTCCTCCGATGTTGTTAATAAAAATCTTACATTGGGCGTAGCCTACAAGCATTCTTCAAGGATCAGTCTAACAACCTTCCTTCAGCCTGGTACTTTTCATTTGGTTTTTAAATTTTTTTTTATCCACATGTACTGCCTGGTTGTTTATCAATAATTAAAAATTAGAACAGAGTTTTGAGTGATGAAATAGTCACAAAAGTAGTAGACTGCGCTGAACTAACTGGCATTGTCTGCAAGGACACAAGATGCAATGCAAGATAGCACTTCGGTGGGTAGCTTAGCGCCTGCTGGTTAAGGCAAATGTCTGCATGTTGAGATAATGGGTATCTAACACATTTCTGTTTTGAGCTCTCTATGGTTCTCAATTGTATCAGCCATAGACTTGCAGGTACTGTTTCGTAAGAGATGTGAATATTTGAACTGAATAATAACATAGGTACTTATCAAACTCTTGTATATCCTTCTCTTTCGAGTGATTCATGTTATAACATTCTTTAAAATCCCATCATACAGACTTCCAGGTTTGAAGGGAAGGGCCACTTGAGAAATGCAGAATGTTGTACGACCTTTGTAGTATTTCTATTTAGA